TTAAAAAATTTTTTTTTTTTTAAAATAAATAAAAAATGATGCACCTGCTGTTTACGTAGGCCCAGGTAGCGTCGGTGCACGTTTCGGAGCAAGACTAAAGGACGCTCCGATCACCTTCACATTTCATTTTGAACCTTCCTCTTTGCGTAAAAAAAAAAAAAAACACGTACCTACTAAACCTGTCTCCTCCGACGAAGAGCAGCGCGAGGAGCCACGGCAGCAAAGTTGGCACGTCCATGGTCACGCACTTAACAATCCCGCAAAAAAAAAAAAAAAAAAATGTTCCGTAGCGTGGGACTTGGGTGGAAGGAGGCGACGCCACGGGGGGTTCAGTGCGCTCTCGTCGGGTTCGGTCTGAGCGGTGAGGAGCGCGGCTGGAGGCGGCGGGGCGCGAGAGCCATGGTCCGGGGCGCGCGCGAGGCGAACCGATCCGAGCCGTGCCGAGCCGAGCCGAGTGGAGGAATCCGGAGGTCTGAGCTGAGGCAGGCACGACTCCGGAGAGAGAGGAAAAGAGAGAGAGACTAATCTGAGCTGCGATCGTCACGGCTCATCCACGGAGGCGGGAGGGAGGGAGGGAGGGGGATGAAGAGGAGGGAGGGCGTAAAAGAAGAGCCATAATTGGGGATCTATTATGTAAGGATCATATATTTGGTTATGCAATGAGCTGACGCGGCGGTGGTGGTCGTGGTGGTGGTGACGGTGTGGGCGACGGGCGACGGGCGACGAGCGACGGGCGACAGAGAGTTGATCCCGAAGTCGCGCGACGGGGCGTGATGAGGTCACGGCTCCCGCGGCGTCACCTGCGCGTTTGCAGCGTTCACCCGCAGCGTGAGACTAATGATGAGGTTATTTTTAACACCAAACACACACACTTTGCACACACACACAGTTTAGACACACACACACACACAGTTCACACACAGTCAGAGTGAGAGTGAGAGTGTGCTGATTAAACACTTTTTACGAGTCTCTAGGAAGAAGAAGAAGGAGGAGGAGGAGGAGGCTGTGGATGATGGGAGGGCATCTGATGTACAGAGGTGTGAGGATGGAGAGAGTTGAACACTGGAGTAGAGGAGGATGGGAGGATGGGAGGGCATCTGACACATGAAAGATATAAGAGAACTTGAGGGCATCTGACGCAGAGATACAGGAGGATGAGAGAGATACTGACAGGCAAAGAGAGAGACAAAGAGAGGGGGATAGATAGATAGACACACGGGAGGATGGGAGGGCATCTGACACACACACAGGAGGATGGGAGGGCATCTGACACACAGGGATGTAGGCGTGTTTGTCTCTGGACACAAAAAGGAGGAGAAAGGGACACACAGGGATAATAATAATAATAATAATAATAATAATAATAATAATAATAATAATCATGATGCATCAGTTTTATGTTGCTCTTTTCTGGACGCTCAAAGACACTTTACAGATCATTATTCATTCACTCCACACTTACTGTAGCCACAGCTGCCCTGAGGCACACTGACAGAAGCGAGGCTGCCAATCTGCACCATCGGCTCATCACGCACACACACACCACTTTCAGACTACACATTGTGGGTGAAGTGTCTTGCCTAAGGACACAACAACAGTTTTTGGGACTGGTGCTTTACCGTGGCTCCTGATTTGACAAACTGGTACGGACAAAGAAGGGACAGAGGAGGACGGGAGGGCATCTGGCACAGGCGGAGGACAAAAGGACGATGACGTTGGCGCGGTCGTCGGCGCGGTCGTCGCCGCGGTCGTCGGTGCGGTCGTCGGCGCGGTCGTCGGCTCGTTCACCTGAGGCCTTCACTGTTACATAACACTCTCTCACCAGTGTCCTCCTCATACCTGTGGGGCGATCAAACACTCACCACAGAGGACACACGGAACGAGGGATGAAAGAGAGAGAGACGGACAGAGAGAGATGGAGAGAGACAGGGAGATGGAAAGAGAGATGGAGAGAGTCAGAGAGAGAGATGGAGAGAGACAAAAAGATGGAGCGAGACAGAGATATGGAGAGAGAAAGAGAAATGGAGGGAGATGAGAGAGAGAGAGATGGAGAGAGTCAGAGAGAGAGAGAGAGAGGAGAGAGACAGAGATGGACAGAGAGATGGAGAGAGACAGAGATATGGAGAGAGAAAGAGAAATGGAGGGAGATGGAGAGAAACAGAGATGAATAAAGAGATAGGTAGAGAGAGTCAGAGATATGGAGAGAGAAACAGAGATGTACAGAGAGATGGAGAGAGACAAAGAGATGGACAGAGAGATGGAGAGAGAGAGAGAGACAGAGAGATGAGAGAGATGGAGAGAGACAGAGAGAGAGAGAGGAAGAGAGATGGAGAGAGACAGAGATGGACAGAGAGAGGAGAGAGAGAGAGAGATGGAGAGAGACAAAGAGATGACAGAGAGAGAGATGGAGAGAGAGAGATGGAGAGAGACAGAGAGAGAGAGAGAGGAGAGAGACAGAGGGATGGAAAGAGAGATGGAGAGAGTCAGAGAGAGAGAGAGAGGAGAGAGACAGAGGGATGGAAAGAGAGATGGAGAGAGACAGAGATGGACAGAGAGATGGAGAGAGAGAGAGAGATGGAGAGAGACAGAGAGATGGACAGAGAGATGGAGAGAGAGATGGAGAGAGTCAGAGAGAGAGAGAGAGGAGAGAGACAGAGGGATGGAAAGAGAGATGGAGAGAGACAGAGATGGACAGAGAGATGGAGAGAGACAGAGAGAGATGGAAAGATGACACGAGACAGAGAGAGATGGAGAGAGAGAGAGAGAGACAGAGAGATGGAGAGATAGAGAGAGAGCGTGTGTTATGGAGACAGAAAGAGAGATGGACAGAGAGTGTGTGTTATGGAGAGAGAGAGAGAGATAGACAGAGAGACAGAGAGATGGAGAGAGAAAGAGAACTGGATAGAGAGATGGAGAGACAGAGAGAGAAGGAGAGATGGACAGAGAGATAGAGGGATGGAGAGATGGAGAGAGAGAAACTGACAGGCAGAGAGAGAGACAAAGACAGAGAGAAAGAGAGCAGCAGAAATAGAGAGAGATGGAGATGATGAGATGGATAAATACTGTAAACATATATGACCAACTCCAATAAACCTGATTCTGTGATTGTGTGATTGTGTGATTGTGTGATTGTGATTGTGTGATTGTGTGATTGTGTGATTCTCTTGTGGAGAGTTAATCCCGTGAACCACGTGGCCGCAGTTTCATTTGTCTGATCTATAACGAGCAGCAGGTCTGTGTCCATCAGAAAAACCCTCTGGATCATGTATTAATACTGATATGGACCATAGATGTTTGGATTATACACGTACAGTCTGTGATTATACGGCTTAAGCACGGTCCAGACCTCAGACCTCAGCGGGGATCTTCACTGTAAAGCATCATGTTTTTGAAACCGGGGCTGGAAAAAGTGCTCGATTTTGTTATTTAAGAAAAAAAAATAGACAACACAAGTTTATTTGTACAGCACAATTCGTACACAAAATCATTCAAAGTTCTTTACAGAATAAGAAATACATTAAAATCACAACACAAACAGATCAAAACATAAATAATCATCATAAAATTAAAAAGACAGAGACATTACATGAGAAAAGTACAGATACTAGAACAAAAAAAATGTAAAATTAAAAGTATCACAGAAAAAATCTACTTAAGTAAAAATATTAAAGTACACGTTAAAAAATATGTTTGTTTTTTTTTGTTTTTTCCAGTTCAGTTCAACAGTGTAGTGGAATAGGAAGCTCTCAGATGCAGTAAAGTAAAAGTAAAGAAGTAGTAGTAATAAGTACTAAGTAAAACCCCACTTCAAAATGTACTTAAGTAAAGTATTAAACATTTCCACATTTCCTTCCACACCCCACCTCCCAATAATAGAAATTATCAGGTTCCATATTTGGGAATTAAATATTGGGAATATGGTTGAAATGCAGTTTTGTAGTAGTAGTAGTAGTAGTAGTAGTAGTAGTAGTAGTAGTAGTAGTAGTAGTAGTAGTAGTAGTGTTGTTGTTGTTGTAGTAGTAGTAGTAGCAGTAGTAGTAGTAGTAGTAGTAGTAGTAGTAGTAGTAGTTGTAGTAGTAGTAGTAGTAGTAGTAGTAGTAGTAGTAGTAGTAGTAGTAGTAGTAGTAGTAGTAGTAGTAGTAGTAGTAGTAGTAGTAGTAGTAGTAGTAGTAGTAGTAGTAGTAGTAGTAGTAGTAGTAGTAGTAGTAGTAGTAGTAGTAGTAGTAGTAGTAGTAGTAGTAGTAGTAGTAGTAGTAGTAGTAGTAGTAGTAGTAGTAGTAGTAGTAGTAGTAGTAGTAGTAGTAGTAGTAGTAGTAGTAGTAGTAGTAGTAGTAGTAGTAGTAGTAGTAGTAGTAGTAGTAGTAGTAGTAGTAGTAGTAGTAGTAGTAGTAGTAGTAGTAGTAGGAGTAGGAGTAGTTGTTGTTGTTGTAAAACGGTGAGTTCTTGGGCTTAGTCACCAATAGGAATGATCAGCTTCAACATTTGTAAATTTATCTTTTAGATATTTTATGGCAAAGTACAACGTGATCAATAGGGAAAACAGGGAGTATGACGTCATCACATTCTAGAATCCGAAAACCACCAATTAAAAAAATAAGAAAAAAAATTGAAATAGAATGTAAAAAATAAAAAATGTAAAAGTTGAATTAAAATAGTACAATTAAAATAATAATAATAATTTAAAAAAAAAAGAATAATATATTTTATATATACGGTTTGTGTTTGGCACGAGCCGATGTTGCACGTGGAGCTACGCACGCCCCGCCCCTCACTTGTCTCCATAGCAACCACATTAAACAAGACCGGAGCCGTGGAACAGAGCTGGTAAATGCAAAGAGTTTGACATTTTTACGTTTGCTAAAATAAACAAATGTATGCGTAATTAAAATGGGCAAAGTTTAAAGATAATTCTCGCTTACAGACAGCCCGTTAATGAGACAGAGCAGAGGTGAAAGTGCGAAAAAAAAGAGCGACACAGCGGGGGACGCGCTCCGGCAGAACACGTGAGCAACTTTAATGATAAAAACACGATAATTAACTTATTTATCTCTATAATTATACTTCAGTACAACAGGAACAAATGTCATATAGCGAGTTAGGTGTAAGATACTTTTGTGGTTGATATTAACTCTAGGTTAACTATAATATTTATCTATTTCGAGTTTGTAAACACAATTTTTGGCTCGTTAGCTTAAGCGCTAGTTAGCTGCGCTGCCTTCAATATTTATTTAGTTAAATTTTAATACAATCTGACTAAAGTGACAGGATCAAAATTCTAAACTGGGACACACTCGGGTTAGGATGGTTGTTGGTATAAATAAAATTGTGAAAACAGCGTGTAACATTGTGGATTCACGTGTCAGTCATGATCTGAGGGAGTTATGTCGCTGCATTTTTATTTTTTATTTATTTATTTATTTATTTTTTTGCTTTATAGTCATTTGCAAACACGGATTTCTGTATTTTGGCCAAACAAATGAGTTTATGCTTCTCTTTATTGTTGGCAGAGATAAAAAATTGTGATAGTCCTGTTTTAGTCCTGTTTTAGTCCTGGTTCAGTCCTGATTTAGTCCTGATTTAGTCCTGGTTTAGTCCTGGGTTTAGTCCTGGTTTAGTCCTCCTGATTTAGTCCTGGTTCAGTCCTGGTTTAGACCTGGTTTAGACCTGGTTTAGACCTGGTTTAGTCCTGGTTTAGTCCTGGTTCAGTCCTGGTTTAGACCCTTGTTTAGTCCTGGTTTAGACCTGGTTTAGTCCTTTTTTAGACCTGGTTCAGTCCTGGTTCAGTCCTGGTTTAGTCCTGCTTTAGACCTGGTTTAGTCCTGGTTTAGTCCCGGTTTAGTCCTCCTCTATTCCTCTTCATTTAGTCCTGGTTTAGTCCTGGTTTAGTCATCCTGATTTTGTCCTGGTTTAGACCTGATGTAGTCCTGGTTTATTCATGGTTTAGTCCTGATTTAGTCATCCTGATTTAGTCCTGGTTTAGAACCTGGTTTAGTCCTGGTTTAGTCCTCCTCATTTAGTCTTGGTTTAGTCCTGTTTTACTCCTGGTTTAGACCTGATGTAGTCCTGGTATAGTCTTAGTTTAGTCCTGGTTTAGTTCTGGTTCAGTCCTGGTTTAGACCTAGTTTAGTCCTGGTTTAGTCCTGGTTTAGATTAAATTGGTCAAAAACAGGGACACCTAGGACATTTCTTGTATAAAATCACTGGTTTTGAATAAATCTGATAGGACAGGGGACACAGGCTCAAACTGGGACTATTAAAGAGGTAAATAGGGACATCAGGACACAAAACTAAAGTTAAAAACAATCTGCCGAGGGTGACCAGGTTTTCAAAATCAAAAAAACTATGACACACCCTGGTTTGTGGTGGTTGGTAATAATAAAATTGTGAACTCGGCCCATTCCTGACGAACATGTGAGACAATATAGTCACTTATTCTTTGTGTTTTGGTCATTCTTAAGCAGCTTTTTAAAAAATTTATCTAAACAAATAACAATGTATGTCTGTCTTTACTGTTGGCAGGGATCAGATTAGTCAAAAATAGAGACATTTCTTGTATAAAACTGGGACAAATCAGTGGTTTTGTATAAATCTGCTGGGACAGGGGACACAGGATCAAAACTGGGACTGTCCCGGGGAAACAGGGACGTCTGGACACACAAAATCTGCAGCATAACATTAGTTGGTGTAGCTGGTGTAAGTCTTTATTAACTTTTCATTGGTCCTAAACATACTGATCTGACAATTAATGAATATGAATGAATATTTGTAATGAATTCAAATGGTCCAATGTGTGGTTTATTGTCAAAGGAATGTGCTGCTTTTGAGATACTCAGTGTCCAAGTGAAACCTGTTTGTAATAATATAATAACAAATATTTGCTGAGGGAGTGTGCTAATATATTTTTATTTTATTTTTTATTAAATTTACCTCAGCTGAGAACATGAAGCAGGAGGACAGGAGCTCTGATGAGGACTCCACTTCATCCATCAGCTCCGAGTGGCTGGCAATGTCCGAGTGAGTGTCCACAGTGAAATACACAGTACTTTCCATCAACTGATACTTTGCTGTGATGTTATACTGGGGGTTTTCTACATGTAAGTCTATAGTGGAATGTTCGGCAGTGACTGTGGTGACACAGTGCACATAAAAGTTGTAAGATAGTCTGAAAACTCAAGAAAACATACTGAATATTTGATTTTAACTAGGCGTGTCAAATTATCGCTTTAATTGCGATTAATTCAATTACAGTCATATTTAGCGCGTTATGTTTTTTAATCGCGTTAATCTTATTTTAAATCTCTAACTTTACTGTTTCTGTGCGAGTTGCCTTACTATAAAATCTGTTTTTATGTGTTGTTAGGACACAGTCGCACTGTGCAGTCCTGCTCTGACTTGTAGCCTAATTTTCATTTTCCGTTCTCGCCGCATCTGTGATAAACCTGCACACGTCTGATCTGAAAACATCACGACACAAACACAGAACAGACTCACCTTCAGTATCAACACCCCTCTGTCACAGAGAGAACACTCATATTCCACTGAGTCCACTCCACTGAGTGTCCTTTAGTAGAAGCTGAACCACATCAGCGCGTTTCTCAGCAATTTTTAGGTGAGATTAAAAAAGAGATTAATTAGATTAATTAATTACAGATCATAATTAATTAATCTCTCAATTTTTTTAATCGCTTGACAGCACTAATTTTAACATCACATTTTTAGGAGTCTGGGATCAATAGAAGAACTCACGGTCCGGCTTCAGCTTTCAGTTAGTCGCTCTCACATTTTTGTTGAAAATCAAACTCCAAAACAGGACAATGAAAACTCAAACTGATCACAGGCTCCTGAAAATGTGCTCTTTAAATCCATTTTGTAGTTTTTATTGAGTTTTAGGACTGTATTGAAACGTCTTGGGCAGTTTTTGCTTATATGTCCATTGTGTCTCCGTGACAGCTGAACATTCCACCGTACACGTACATGTAGAACACCCTCAGCGCGATGTGACTGCAGAGTATGACTGTGTGCGCGTGTGTCGTGTGCAGCAGTGACAGTGTGGAGCAGGAGGCCGGAGCAGCGTCTGACCAGAGGACCGTGGAGAGGTGTGTGGACACGGGGCGGATGTTCAAGCTGAGGAGAGCCCTGAGCCAGCTGGACCTGTACCACCAACAGAAGGAGGAAGATGTGCGCACAGCCAGGTCACATGTCCACTCACTCTGCACCAAACACTCTACAGTTTATAAACCATAGGAAGGGAGTTTGGGCGGAAAAAAACATCTCCTCTCCTCCTCCTCCTCCTCCTCCTCTCTCTGTAACTGCTGCGGTTTCTAACACTGGTTTTTATTTCACAATTTTGTCTGTAAATCAAGATGTGAACAATAATAACAGACAAATGAAGAGCCCGAGGTCACTCTCACTAGTGTTAGAAACAGGTTTGATTGACAGCGTTGCTAAGCAGGAAAGTGTGTTACCTTCAACAGCCTCACTTCTTTTTTTTTTTTATAACTTTATTTATTCACATTTTCAGTTTAGAACAAACACTCCCAAACAACAACAATAATATATATATGTGTGTGTGTGTATGTGTATGTATATATATATATACACAAACGCATACATTAAAGGGATAGTTCGGGGTTTTTGACATAAATCTGTATGTCATCCCCGTGAGCAGTGTCGTACATCAACAGTGACTTACCCCCGACAGCGTCCGGTGAGCCGAGATCCTGGCCGGTTTCGGTGCTGACGAAAGTCGTCCGGCAAGTTGGCTGGGGACTGTATAATAAAGCGTTTTTCTTCTCAAAACAATATGTGTTCAAAAGAGTGATACATTTGCATCACAAAACCATCGTCGCCTAAAAAGTCAGACCTCATTATCGCTTTTCGTTTGTTGTGACCCCTCTCGGTTTCTGTAGAATTATAATAGTACAATAATAAAATATAGCAGTACATCAATAACTGTATAGCAGCACATCAGTTACATCATAGCAGTAGTTATACACCACCTAAGCCTAGTTATTTATCCTAACATTATCCACAGATGTTGAAGCTTGTCATTAGGCAAGGGAACTTTAGTTGTGTAGCAGAATTTGTACACAAAGTATAATTCGCACAATACATAATCTTCCAACAGCTGTGTGGTTCACGCTTGAAATAACGACAAACTTTTGGATCTTTTTTTGGGACTTTATTAGATATTTGGATATTACTTTTGGACTATTTTGAAAACACTGAGGATTATTGTGATACCAGTACAGTAACCTGCTTTTGAATAACTCTGGTGAAATCAGCAGACAGCAAAAAGCGCTGATACAGCTGGCCCACTTGTTAAAGGTGTTAAAAAAAAAAAAAAAAGTGTGAACCACGTGATTATGTAAAACAGTTGGGGTAGGACACTTTAAGTTTCTGAGCACCAGGTCCCAAATATGTTCATGTACATTTCCCTGTTTTTGTTATAGTTTTTTGACCTGTTGTTGTACCTGGCTCAAACAAGTGAATAAATGAATTCAAACAAATCAAACCATAAATGCTCATCATAAAATGAACATTAAGAGAGAAGAGAGTGAAATAACCTTTCAGTCACAGAACAGTTTTGAGCGTAGATTCAAATATTGTCATTATTTGTGAGGGACTGGCTCCACAAACTTTTAGCCAGATTATAATGCTGTTACCTCCTGTTGTTTCATTTGTCATATGCAATTAAAATATTTGTATGAAGTAAATTACAGATGGTGTTCTGTGTAAATAACTGTGGTTGTGTTTCAGGGAGCAGCAGAGAGTGTGTCGTGAGCACATCCAGGAGCTGCTGGAGCAGAGGGACAGGCTGGAGGAGGAGATGGACAGTCAGAGGGCGGCAGACAACAGGTACAGCGCCTCCTGTAGGGCGGCCGGGTCATTACGCACACTGTTTACTGAGGCTGTGTGTGTGTGTGTGTGTGTGTGCGCAGTGCAGGGCTGTTCAGACTCAGAGCTCAGCACCGGAGACTCTGTGAGGAGCTGCAGAGGGAGGAGGAGCAGGAGCTGGTGCTGAAAGAGGCCCTCCACAAACACCAGTAAGACCAGTACAAGTACATGCCTCCATCTGTTCACTTAGAACCAAAGGGACAACTGTGGTAAACTTAATAACCTCACTTTTAAACTACATCATGTTTGACTCCCATAACAAAATACTAACCCCTACAGAAACAATAAGACACATGTACACACAATCATTCAGCCAAATGCTTTACATACACACAACACAATATTATGTGAAGAATCCCTCAGTCGTCCTGGTAGAATCCACGGCGAGGAGAAAATTCAGTTTGTTGACTGGACAAAAGTTAGTTTGGTTGAAGATGTTTTGCAGCTCATCCAAGCTGCTTCTTCAGTGCTGAAATGAACTGAAGAAGCAGCTTGGATGAGCTGCAAAACGTCTTCAACCATAATAACTTTTGTCCAGTCAACAAACTGAATTTTCTCCTCACCAACACAATATTATATTGGACACCAGCTCCAGTCTGATCCTATTATATTAATTGGTAAGTTACATGCATAATAAACTGCCACACCTGCCCTGAGCTGACAGGTGGCTGCCAATCTATGCCAACAGCCAGAAACACACACAATAATGAATTAAACTCGCAACCTTCATTTATAACAGTGGTCTTTTTGCAGAACAGAAATTATATGAATTAAAAATCTACGTATTTCTGTTGTTTTTAAATCTTTGTCTTCATTTGTGAAAGCTGATAGTGACTAACTGTTGTGTTTCCTCTGAGACTGGAGCTGTGTGAGGCTGAGGTGGAGCTGGCCAAAGTCTCCTCTCTGAGACGGGAGCTGCACCAGGACGAGCAGAGCTACAACCTCCACAAACAGCAACAGAGCGCCAGGAGACTGCAGCAGGAGAGACAGGCCTGCTCCAACCGCCAGGCCAAGATCAAGAACAAGAACCAGGCCAAGAGTCAACAGACCTATGAGTATGCCTCATTTATCATCTAGGTTTAATTTTGACGGGATTTAAAGGGTCATGTACAGTGTACTTTTAGGTTTTAAAATGATGTTGTATTAAATTACAGTACACCTCGAGCTGTAAACTAGACAGCAAGTCATTTGACTAATCATTGATTATTAAAGATGCAAAATAGATTTTTTTTGAGTGTCATCCATGCATGTTTGAGTAATTTAGTGATCTCTCCCGGGCCCTATTCAAGCCCTCCTGGTTAGCTGTAAGATTCTGTACAAGGCTCAGTCCACGAGCCTACGTCGCTCATGCAGAAGCACAGCAGTTTTTCATAAATCCACAAAAGCATGATCCAGAAAACAATACAACTTCACAAACCTGACGCGATGCAGTAGTTTTATTAGACGATTGCACAATGATTTTGATGTAACGTTCCGAGCGGGGAGCAAAGGGAGACGGGAGTCATCAAAAAAAGAAAATGAAACCTATAAAATATTTTAATACATTGTTTTTGTTGAATATAGAATTTTCAAAAAAGTAACATGGTGATCTAAATATGTTACGTATCTGTTAGTAGTAGTACTAGTAGTAGTTCATATATCCTTTGTTTTTGTTTGGTAGTAAAGGAAACCCTCAGAAGAACATCCCAGAGGAGGTGAAGAAGACGAGAAGCAGCAGCGTGGACAGAGTGATGAGGGAGAGCATCCTCAGGTAAACCCAGCTCTCAGCCTGACGTGACGTTTCATATTGTCTTTATAACCACAGACAGAAAAAAACAGGACTGAATTTAAGTTGTATTTCTCAGCCTCCATATACTAACTGATACTTATTTTATACTACAGTAGTGTCTTATATTGAAACGACAGCTTTTGAACCAATATTAGTACTTAAAAAATGACACAAACAGGACACACTTTTAACTTCCCTGCATAATTTTAGAATAAAGAGCTACAATAAGACCGTAATGATGATTTTATACTATTAAACTGCTACTTCTAAAGCAGGGATTATGCTTCAGGTTTATAGACGTTTTTCACAACAGCCAGAAGTGTCGCGCTGTAGGTTTGCGGAACTTCCGGTTAATGGTTTTCTGTGACAAAATATCTGTGTAAATGTGTGTGTAAATATCTGTGTAAATGTCTGTGTAAATGTGTGTGTAAATGTGTGTGTAAATGTGTGTCGTATTCTCCAGCAGCTTCATAAATCTGCCCCATCTCCAAATCTTTAACCAACAAACTCCACAAAGGATAAACTTTCAATGAAACAATGAAGAATTTATCCACAACTATCAAGAGAAGAAAGACGAAAACTTAAAGGAGAACAACAACGAGCATTAGTGAATTACTCAAGATAAGATAAGATAATCCTTTATTGTCACATGCTTTATCAACACAACACAAGCACCACATAAACACCACCATAAAACAAAATAAATACGAGACCGAGTACGACCACGAGTGAAGCACCAACAGCACCTTCCAGCAAAACTAACCTGTGTGTCATTCGTTCATTCGTTTTTCAATATAAAACCAAAAATAAGAAAACGAAAAAACAACAGTTTTCTTCATTATTTGTCTCCAAAACCAAAATGAAAAATGGATAATGATTCGTTTTTTTTCAGTTTTCGATTTTGTGTTTAAATGAAAAATGGAAAAAACGGATAACGACCGTTTCCCGTTTACGTGACTTCCGTGACTGCGATGCTGGACTTTTGCACCACATACGGACTGAACCAGGACTGATCCAGGTCCGGGACCAGAGCAGGACTGAGACAGGGACTAAGAGCGGGACTGAGACCGGGACCGGGACCAGACCAAGATTGAGATCAGAACTGAAACCGGGACCAGACCGAAACTGAGACCAGACCGGGACCAGGCCGGGACCAGATCGAGACTGAGATCGAGAGTAAGACAGGGACTAAGACCGGGACTGAGACTGAGACCAGGCCGGGACCAGACCGGAGGCTCAGAGCCCACGGCAGGGCCGGAGCTCAAAGCTGAGGCTCGGAGTCAAAGCTCGGAGTCCGCCCTGGTCCCGGCCTGGTCCCGCTCTGGTCCCGGACCTGGTTCAGTCCTGGTTCAGTCCTGGTTCGGTCCATATGCGATGCAAAAGTCCGGCATCGCAGTCACGGAGGTCTTGTAAACGGGAAACGTTTTTTCCATTCTTCATTTAAACACAAAATCGAAAACAGAAAAAAAACGAATCATTATCTGTTTTTTCATTTTGGTTTTGGAGACAAATAATGAAGAAAACTGTTGTTTTTTCATTTTCTTATTTTTGGTTTTATATTGAAAAACGAATGAACGAATGACACACGGATTAAAACTAACGATATGGTTATGAATAAAACAGAAGGAACTTGTTCACTCAGACTGATTCTACAATTAAAATTCAAAATCGATTTCACGATGGCATAGACAGAGAGATTTGTGCAGTTTGAGTTCGACCATAATGTTAGTTTTGCTCAGTGTGTCACTAATGCATCATCGTCGTTGTTTTCCTTTAAGTTTTCCTCTTTCTTCCTTTGACAGTTGTGGATAAAATCTTTTTTATCCTTTGTGGAGTTGGTTGGTTGAAAATTTGGAGATGGGGCAGATTTATGCAGCTGCCGGAGAATACGACACACATTTACACACACATTCTGACACAGAAACCATTAACCCGTTGTGAAAAAGGTCTATTCTATCAGTAAAATAGTCTTCAACATCTCTCATTATATTATTTCACTATAATAACTATAATAAAATAATATTCCACTCTACTGTCCTGATGTTTGTTTCCACCTTGTGCTGCGTTCATGTGCGTTTTCAGACCGTTGTAAAGTGCGTTCTCCTCATCACCAGGGCTCAGAGTCAGGAGGTGGACAGGCGGAGGGAGTGCAGGGAGCGAGCGGAGATCCGGAGACAGGCTGTGAAGGCTCTACAGACCAACATCTCAGCGGCGCATGTGAGCGGCCCACCCACCCACACACCGAAACCTCTACAGCTACAGGAGGGTTTACACAGCGGCAAATCACAAGGGCACCATCTAATCGAACCGTTTTATTTTAGACTCGCTACCTACAGCAATTCATCACATTTTAATCACAGTCACTTCTAATTACCAATGAAAATGGGGAGGTTTACAGCCAGTCCTCTCATAGTAGAGTTTAGTTTAAGTTATCTGCACAATTTTACATTCTTATATGCAGTGTTGGGGAGTAACGGATTACATGTACCGCCGTTACGTAATCAGAGTACAAATTATGAGTAACTGTATTCAGTTACAGTTACTGTTTCAATGAGTGGTAATTGGATTACAGTTACTTTGCTGAAATAAGTGGATTACAAGGCGGTATTTTCCTGTTTTCACATTTTGTGCTACCTCGCATTTATTTATTTTTTTATTTCGGTAATTCCACTCATTGCCGGAAACCCAAACAGAACGCGGCAGTAAGAGCGACGTAAATGTCATATTAAAGTTGGCGGTGTCAGTCACACAGTGGAAGCAGCAGTGCATTGGTAAAAACGCATTTGTGTCTTGGAAATTCTTCTCCCGATGTGAGATAAATATATAAATATATATAAAAAAACAAACAAATATAAAATCGCCTACAACTTAAATGTGAAACAGGAGCTACTGGCACTGGTGAAAACAACCTGCATAGACTCATAATATCTGCACTACTGTCATATACACAAACACACACAAACACACACAAACACACACAAACACACAAACAAACACACACAAACACAAACACACAAACACACACAAACACACACAAACACACACACACACACACACACACAAACACACAAACACACACAAACACACACAAACACACACAAACACACACAAAACACAACAAACAAACACACACAACACAAACACACACAAACACACACAAACACACACACACACACACAACACACACACACACACAAACACACACAAACACACACACAAACACACACAAACACACAAACACACACACACACAAACACACAAACACACACAAACACACACAAAACACACACACAAAACACACCACACACACACACACACACACACACACAAACACACAAACACAAACACACACACAAACACACACACACACACACACACAAACACACACACACAACACACACACAAACACACACAAACACCTTCATCATCGTCATCAACCTGAGAACCCGCGGACCACGTCTCCTTCCGTAGTTACTGCGCGGACACCGACGTCTCGTGCGCCGCGTGTGGACTGTGTTTTCTCACGTAAACCGCGCTTCCTCCTGTTCGCCTCTAAACCAGAACTAACACCAGGACTAAAACCAGGACTAACCCAGGACTAAACCAGGACTAAAACCAGGACTAAACCAGAACTAACCCAGGACTAAACCAGGACTAAACCAGGACTAAAACCAGGACTAAACCAGAACTAACACCAGGACTAAACCAGAACTAACACCAGGACTAAAACCAGGACTAACACCAGGACTAAACCAGGACTAACCCAGGACTAAACCAGGACTAAAGCAGGACTGAACCAGGTTTAAACTAGGACTAAACCACGACTAAACCAGAACTAAAGACCTGGTCTAGACCTGGTCTAGACCTGGTCTAAACCAGGTCTAAAAATCAGGACTAAACCAGGACTAAACCAGGACTAAACCAGGTCTAAACAACATGACACCTAACAGTAGGTTGACATAATTTAAGGTGATCTCATATAAAAAATTATTTCTCTATCAATAATATTTTTTAATATGGTTCATGAAAGGCTGATCTTGTTCTTGTCTTTTAACAGACAAAACCTCTTATATTCAGATCTCGTGGTCTTTGTTTCTACAGTAAACAGTTGTTTATTCATGGGAGACTTGGGCTCAGACAATTTGAAGACAACAAACAAGAATTTTCAGGATGTGGTTGCTACATTCATGTCGTTTAAAAAAAAACATGACAATATCAAGTAATCCAAAGTAATCAGATTACGTTACTCTAAGTAATTTAATGGATTATGTTACAAACTACATTTTGGGGTATGTAATCTGTAATCTGTAGGGGATTACATTTTAAAAGTAACCTTCCCAACACTGCTTATATGCACCTACCCTCTTACATACAGGGTAGAAATGACATATACCGTATTTTTTGGATTATAAATCGCACTTTTTTTCATGGTTTGGGTTTATTTATATTTATTATATAAACGCGGTTTATTTGTGAAAAAAGTTTGAAAATAGACCATTTAATGACAGTGGCCTTATAATCCAGAGCGCCTAATAGTGCGGAAAATACAGTAGTCGACTTATCATGCTCGTCTCTAGTGCTTCCTCTAGGGACCACTGCAGTTTCAAGTACTACGTGACATCACACAGAACTGCCCCGATTACCGTACGTGGAAACCTGTTCGACCAATCGCACTATTTCTTATAACTTTAGATCCTGCCCCTCCCTTTTCCCACTTTCTCCCTTTTAGTAACTCCTCCAGTTTAATGTCACACTGCGGAACATTCCAGACAAAGCAATAACATCTCCATGGCTACAGAAAAGTTGCGTAGTGTCACTTTTCTGGTGCAGATGTGTGTAGAATCCGTTCTGGTGTTTGCTCCTTTCAATTTCTCCGTGATGTTAGACATTATTGCTTTGTCTGGAATGTCTCACTGTACGGCATTAAACCTTTATATCGTCACGGAGACCAAACCAAGCCAAGTTACGGGTCTGTTTAATGTCACACTGTGGGACATTTTAAGCCGAGCGGTGGCGTATCCATGGAAACCTGCAAAAAAAAAGCGACAAGCGCAATGTGCCACTTCTAGACACAACTGAACAAAGCCCAGAGTCACTGTGAACGACACAAACAAACATAAACCACTCACACATCACACTGTTGTGTTTCCTTTAAAGTCCCACACGGTTTATTTGTGAAAAAAGTTTGAAAATAGACCATTTAATGACAGTGCGACTTATAATCCAGAGCGACTAATAGTGCGGAAAATACAGTATCTGAGGCTGTGTTCAGACTGCAGCCTGAAGTGACCCAAATCAGATTTTTTTGGCCCCTATGTTCCTGTATCTGATCTTTTAATGTCAGTCTGAACCACACAGATCCGACTTTTTCAAATGTGACCCAGGACACTTGGATATGTGCTCCTGAACCCGATACATATCTGATCTTTTGACATGTGACTTCAGTCTGAACGGTCAAAGTGCATTCATCCACCTACACGTTATCAGCAAGACACAAACGTCACTATTCTGCTCTGAAGTAGGTGAAAATTGTTAATGAACTGAAGTGACTGAAGTGAAGCACATCACCACTCACCAGTCTTGGCTCCGTCTCCACATCCACACGTTCTTTTCAACATTCTGTCCCACAAAACACCACGGCCAAAAACCTCGTCCTTCTCCTTCTCAATCTCCTCCTTAAAACAAGTAAGAGTTCATGTTCTGGCTCCGGTACGAGAGGAACTTTAAAATCTCCAGGTGCTCGATGCTGCGTCCATGTTTGGACAACTTCTGTAAACACAGAGACGCTCGCTGCGGTTGACGTCGTCGTGTCTCCAGTGTCACATGCGGGACACTTTTGGGCCATTTAATGTTCACACTGGAGTCACATACAAGTCACATTTAATTGGAAATGTGAACGACCTCGCAAAAACATCGGATTTCACAAAAAAATCGGAATTGAGCGTTAAGCCCTGCAGTCTGAATGTAGCCATAATAACTGTTAATATGTGACGTTAACATATTAACGCCTGTTCAGTCTGTTATTCTCTGTTCTGTTGTTATTACTAGAGCCTTTCAAGATGAAATGTCAGTTCCTGGTCTCTGATTTTATAAAATACATTTCCCAAAAAAGTGCGACTTATAGTTTGGTGCGATTTATGTGTTTTTTTCTTCTTCATTGCACATTTTTTGGCTGGAGCGACTTATAGTCCGGAAAATACAGTAATATTGTAATTGGTCTCAAATGAGAAAAAAATGTGTAGTTGGTACCAGATTACCTCCTGATCTTGCCATGGGGCCAAACCTTTTGAGCTCTCAAGAGGAAGAAAGCCTAAACTTGAGGTATATTTATGAAAATATCCAAACTAGTTTCAGAAAATGTGTCTTTCAGCATCACACGCCCGGAGAATATTGATGAGCTGCGTTTGATGCACTTTAACCTCTTTTGTTTTGTTTTGTTTCCTCGAGCAGAGCCGAGCCAGAGCCCCGAGGCGGAGAGAGCAGAGGGTCCAGAGGGGTCAGCCGGAGGAGGAGACCCGGCCGTGGGCTGGAGGTCCTGGCTCCGCGGTGGAGAAACAGCACAAACCGCGGTGTGTGAGCCTCAGCGCTCACAGGAGCACGTGGGCGGATCGCTGCTCTGTATAAACATATAAACCTGCTCTGAATACATGCAACGTGATGGTGGGAGCACGGGACGCTGTTTTAGTATCGACAAAACGAAGAAATCTATAAATGTTGAAGCTGATCTTTTTATATTAGTGTTGTACTATATTTATCCAGCCACAGAACACAGAATAAAAAAAAAAACATGTCTGAGGAGGTTTTTAGATGCATGCTTGAGTAATTTAGTGATCTCTCCCTCCTTACAGTTAGCAGTATGAGCCTCTGCAACGCTCAGTCCACAAGCCTATATCAATCTGCTTAAAGGTTATATGGAGGATTTTTTTTTTAGTTTCAAATTGTCAATGAAAGTTTAAAATACCATTACAGAGACGCAGCAGCCTTGTAATTCTGGCCCCAAAAAAAAAAAAAAGAATGAAAATCTATTAACTGTGGACGTAGTGAGGCCAGATAAACATCAGCCAATAGAAAACAAGACTCCCTCATTTTCTATTGGCTGTTAGGTTGTCAGTCAAACTCCCTACGTTTCTAGTGTAACTGATTCGCCGACGCTCGGGGATTATGTGGTTTATGTGGCGGTTCTTAGAGGCTTTTTCTAACTGTAGCTTCCTCGCAGTTCGCACTAAGTTCGTTGAGACGGTGGACGAGAATCCACGACCAGTTCGCCGCAAAAGAAAGTCAGTTTTTGAGGTCGCTGAAAGAAGGGGAAAAGGAGCGAAGACAAACTGAGGCAGACAAAGGGTCTAAAAACTCACGTGTCGGTCGTTAAATCAGGTCACTTCAACAGTAATTCTGAAGGCGCACTGTATGTAAACAAGTGTGATTTCTAGAGTAAAGAGGCGGGAGGAGATGTTTCTACTGAGGGAGCTGCAGAGGAGGGAGGTGGTGTCACGCAGGCACAACATTTGAAAAAGGACTGTCGCTGTATTGCTCTTCCCTTAAAAAATCCTCTATACAAACTTTAAATGAAAACTAAAAAAATGCTACATTAATTTTCTGTTTTCAGGAAACCCAGGGAGAGGCAGAAGGCAAAGGGCCTGGAGATAGAAGCTGGCAGCTCCGTTCTAAAAGAGCAGCAGCTGTTGAGGAGGCAGACGCTGCAGCCTGCACAGCCCAAGGCTCCACAGAGGTCCAACCTGCCCTCCAGCCCGCCCCTGCCCTCCACACCACTCTATCCAACTGCAGTCAGTCTTCTAGTATCTGTATGTATTGTGGTATCAACAGTGGTTTCACGATAATTCTGTTTTTTTAAGTTGGGGTTGTCAAAAGTTTCAAAAATCTGACCAGTATTGAAGTATTGACACTCATTTTTCACAGGTGTTGACACTAAAAACGTCCCACCGACAGGACAGAAATTAGCCTTTCCTGAAAAGACCTTTAGCGTAACTTCTGGTTATTAGTTTTCTGTGGTAAAATGTTTGTGTAAAAATGTTTGTCGTTTTCTCCAGCAGCTTCATAAATCTGCCCCATCAGCAAATCTTCAACCAACAAACTCCACAAAGGATAAACATTCTAACATGAAGAATTTAGCCACAACTATCAAGAGAAGAAAGACGAATAAAACATAAGTAACTTGTTCACTCACACTCTATGGAGGCACGGTGGCTGAGTGGCTAGCACTCATGCCTCACAGCAAGAAGGTTCTGTGTGGAGTTTGCATGTTTCTCCCCGTGTCTGGATGGGTTTCCTCCGGTTTCCCCCATCAACCCAAAACATGCTACAGGTCCATAAACAGTTGATAGTCAAGGTCAGTTAAAATACAATCAATTCAATCATTGTGTCCTTTGGCAAGACACTTCATCCACATTGCCTAGTATGAAAGTGGTGTGTGTGTGAGTGATGGTGGTGGTCGGAGGGACCGATGGCACCGATTGGCATGGCAGCCGCGCTTCTGTCAGTGTGCCCCAGGGCAGCTGCGGCTACAATAGTAGTTTACCATCACCAGGTGTAGAGTGAATGAATAATGCTGAATAATGCTGTGTAAAGCGTCTTTGGGGACAGAAAATGTCTGTGAAAAGCGCTGTATAAATAAAGACTTACTTACTTACTCAGACTGATTGTAGAATTAAAATTAAAAAATGATTTCATGATGTCGATATGAGCATAGACAGAGAGATTTGTGCAGTTCAAATGCGAGACATCTCTAGGACCATAATGTTAGTTTAGTTCAGTGTGTCACTAATGCGACGTCAAGGTTCAAGGTTCAAGGTTCTTTATTTGTCATTCAAACATGCAAGAGAAACACATGACAGAACGAAATGTGCTCCCCGAGGCCCAGTGATCCAGAAAGAGATAAAAAAAAAAAACAATAATAAATAAGCAATGTTAAAAAATAAATACATTTAAAACAACAACATTTAGCAGTTCCAATGAACAAGTAGTAAACGTGGCAAGACAGAGAGAGAGGCAACCCAAGCAGGACGTCAGTGTGCACTGTTCACAAGTCTGACAGCCTCAGGAAAGAAGCTGAACTTCAGCCGAGAAGTTCTAGCTTCAGCCATTGTTTCCTTTAAACTTTCATCTTTCTTCCCTTGATAGTTGTGGATAAATTCTTCATGTTTGAATGTTTATCCTTTGTGGAGTTTGTTGGTTGAAGATTTAGTGATGGGGCAGATTTATGAAGCTGCCGGAGAATACGACACACATTTATACACACATTTTACCACAGAAAAGCATTAACCGGAATTTCCGCAAACCTACAGCGGGACACTTCCGGTCGTTGTGAAAAAAGTCTATAGCTTTAGAATGAACTTGAGCTGAATCAGAGCAAGTATAAGAGCACATAAAGTAATATACGCCCTTGGACCACTGAGGGATCACACAGATATAAGCACACACGGAAATAGAAAAGAACATCCTACTATTTAATGTCGAAAATCACATTCTGTTGTCTAAAGAAAAAGTGTTCTGGCATCAGAATTGGAGTATCGAGTCAATTTTTTAGCCTTAAGTTTGAAATCTTATTATTATCATGACAACAGTAGTTTGAGTTAAAGTGTGTTTTTGCTTTTGGCTCGGTTTAGTTTCAGTCCTGGTCCAGATTTATTTCCAGTTTAATCCCACTTCAGTCCCAATGTAGATGTGGCGATGGCATCCTAAAAATCAGGATCACAGCCTTTTCAACCTCCTGTCTCTTCTGTGAGCAGAGCAGGGAGCGGTTCCAGGATCCCAGTGACAGCGAGGACTCATCAGACCCGGAGGAGCAGTTTTGGCCTGGGCAGGAGAAGGAGGAAGAGGAGGAGGAGGAGGAGGAGGAGGGGGCTGGAGCAGACCTGGAGCAGCCTGAGTTCTGTGGCTTGTGGGCCCATGACTATAAGGTACACACACGGGGCACAGAGGAGACTCATAAATCAGGCTCCATCACAGAGGAAGAGGAGGGACGCTGCTGCTTCCTCCATCCGTCACTGTCACAACACGGGAGCACGCGCTATTTTAGGCAACTCAAATCTGCACTGATTTTAAAAAGCAGTGTGTGCGCAGCCGGAGTTCTTACTGGTTTAAAATGAAGATCTGATCACAACTGAGCCTCTTACAGAAACAAACGTACATTATCATTTCTAGGGAATAAATGTGGGAGAAGGACTAACTGTATGTACAACAGGCGAGTTTCATTGTTGACAAAAGCGCGCGTTGCATGCTGGGAATTATTTTGGTCGGCGGCAAGAAACACTACTTCAACATGACGGACGGAGCGAGAAAGCACGTAAAGGGTATTGATCCCGGTTATTTATCCACTCTAACGGCAGAGGACCCAAGACCATTTGACCAGAAATTGGTCATAAGCATCGACGGACGACAAATCACTCTTTTCAACCCCGACAGAGCCTGGACCAAACCAAATTTCTGGTCTGAATCTCCAACTACCTGGACAAATATTCACTTGGGCGATATCCACAATGACTTGGTGGAAACTCCTGGGCCATTCACAGCAGAAAAGATGAAAACCTCCAAGAGTCTCGATGTGTTGTTGAACTTGTTGGAGTCCACGGTTTGTTAGGATCTTCTACGTTTGCTCTGCGGAGGTTCTTTTCACTCAGAATACGAAAAAGACATTTTCCTTCTTCCGTGCTTCTATTTGTGCATCCGATAATGCAGCAGGAATTTACCATTATCGAGGATAAATACGCGAGGTTACGCACTGTGTTTGACGCTACCGTGTTTCTTGCCTCCGACCAAAATATTTCCCAGCAGCAACGCGGGCTTTTAATAACAATGACGTCATCTGAAACTCGCCTATTGTGACAGTAAATATATTAAAGAAGTGTAACATGATTTCCTCTGGTGTTAGTATTAAACTATAACATACATACTGTAGATCCTCCACATATATGGGGTGTGGCCAGACGTCCCTGTTTACCCGGGACAGTCCCAGTTTTGAGCCTGTGTCCCCTGTCCCAGCAGATTTATACAAAACCAGATGATTTGTCCCAGTTTTATACAAGAAATGTCCCAGGTGTCTCTATTTTTTTTACCAATTTGATCTAAACCAGGACTAACATCAACTCTAAAACAGGTCCACCACAATTTTTGACTAATCTGATCCCGGCCAACAGTAAAGACGAACATAAATTGTCATTTGTTTGACCAAAATACAGAAAACTGTGTTTGCAAATGACGATAAAGCAAAAAAAATTAAAAAATGCAGCAACAGAAGTCCCTCAGATTTAGCGAGGCTGGCGTCAGTGTCTCTGCTCAATTTCATTTCTCTCCAGCGACTAGATCAAACTGGTGGCGTCTGTCTGGTCCCTTTTGTGGAACAGCACAACAGTAAACAAAGCGTCGAGATGGATGTAGACGAACACAGACATTCTGTGTTCGCAACGATTCCCCAGATCAAGGATTTAAAGTCGGAACAAAGAGAATGTTTGGTGAATTTTATCAAGGGGAAAGATGTTATTGTTCTTCTTCCTACAGGATTTGGAGCATTACATACGTCACCACCAAACAGCAGCGATTGGTTAAATAATAAAAGTACCCGCCTACTGTCGAGCGAACAAATCCTAATGTCACACGGTTTCTACGAAGTGAAACTGGCTGATGAATCAGTCTACCTCACTTTTTTCACAGTTTTATTTGTACCAACCATCCAAAACCAAACAAAAGCTGTGTCCCAGTTTAGAAATACAAAAATCTGGTCACCTTATCCAGATAACTTAATATTAGAAAGGCAAAGATAGGGGGTTGGTGTAAACTGAAATTTTCTGAGCACTTAATCCTCAAATTTAAAGCAATACTGGATTACTCAAACCATTACGCCTCCCTCGGGAGGTGTTCCGGGCATGTCCCACCGGGAGGAGGCCCCGGGGAAGACCCAGGACACACTGGAGGGACTATGTCTCTGGGCTGGCCTGGGAACACCTCGGGATCCCCCTGGAGGAGCTGGAGGACATGTCTGGGGTGAAGGAAGTCTGGGAGTCCCTGCTTAGACCGCTGCCCCCGCGACCCGACCCCAGATAAGCGGAAGAAAATGGATGGATGGATGGATGGATTACTCAAACCTGTATGAAGCATGAGTTTTATCAAAATACAACTTTGAGCGAGCTGATGATGAGAGAAAAACATTTAAGTGATACAGAAAACTGAAACTCAAAAGTGAACAAGCTTTATTCGTTGCAAAAAGGCAGTTTTCTGGGAGCTGGGATGAGGAGGAAAAGGATGAAGAGGATGAAGAGGAGGAAGAGGAGCGCTCTTGTTGATAAATGAGTGTGTTGTAATGTGAGCTGACAGACTTCACCTCTGATCGAGCCGCTGTGTTTGAGGCCTGAGAATGAGAGCGCTGCAGAGGGACACAGGAGAACTCTTCTTCTTCTTCTTCTTCTTCTTCCTCTTCCTCTTCCTCTCTGAGAGTTATTATCTCTATACTTCCCTGACCAGCACGGACCACGAACTGCCCAAAGCCTTAGACTTTTGTGCAGAAACAATAAAATCAATCTTTCACTAGTCGGAATAATATAACACGCTATGAGTACTTTTTGACTTGGATGACTTGTAGTTGTATCAGAACAAGTATAAGAGCACACAGAGTAGTATATACCCATGGACCTGGTTTAGACTTGGTTTAGACTTGGTTTAGACTTGGTTTAGACCCAGTTTAGACCCGGTTTAGACCCGGAGTAGACCTGTTTTAGACCTGGTTTAGACCTGGTTTAGACCTGGTTTAAACCTGGTTTAGACTTCGTTTAGACCTGGTTTAGTCCTGTTTTAGACCTGGTTTAGACCTAATTTAGACCTGGTTTAGGCTTGGTTTAGACTTGGTTTAGACCTAGTTTAAACCTGGTTTAGACTTCGTTTAGACCTGGTTTAGTCCTGTTTTAGACCTGGTTTAGACCTAATTTAGACCTGGTTTAGGCTTGGTTTAGACTTGGTTTAGACCTAGTTTAAACCTGGTTTAGACTTCGTTTAGACCTGGTTTAGACCTGGTTTGGACCTGGTTTAGGTTCGGTTTAGACTTGGTTTAGACCTGGTTTAGTCCTGTTTTAGACCTGGTTTAGACCTAATTTAGACCTGGTTTAGGCTCGGTTTAGGCTTGGTTTAGACTTGGTTTAGACCTGGTTTAGTCCTGGTTTAGACTTGGTTTAGACCTGGTTTAGTCCTGGTTTAGACCTGGTTTAGACCTGGTTTAGTCCTGGTTTAGGCTCTGTTTAGACCTGGTTTAGTCCTGGTTTAGACCTGGTTTAGACCTGGTTTAGTCCTGGTTTAGGCTCTGTTTAGACCTGGTTTAGTCCTGGTTTAGATCTGGTTTAGATCTGGTTTAGACCTGGTTTAGTCCTGGTTTAGGCTCGGTTTAGACTTGGTTTAGACCTGGTTTAGACCTGGACCACTGATGGATTACACAGATATAAGGCCACGTGGGAACAAAAAAGAAAGTTCTTCCATTTAAATTGGAAAATCACAGTATATTATATTATATTATATTTAAGAAAGAGTGTTTTGTTGTATCAGAGTTGGTATTGAGTTTGATATTCGATTGTTATGACGCCTCTAGGAAAAGCTGCGCTAAATGCAGGTACCAGACCATCCACCAGAACTGTTATTTTCACCTTTAAAAGTGAAACACCAATAATAAAGTTTGTTACATTAAGTTCAAGTGAGTGAAATTAAGTTCGTGAGTGTTAAAATTGATTCTGTGAGAGTCAGTTTTAACATTTTCTTTACATGAGTCCAATCTGTTCTAGAGTTAATTTAACATTTTTGGAAAATGTTAATTTCCAATGTTAAGTAACACTGGACCAAAGTTCCCAAATGCCAAAATCAAGAGTTATTTTAACGTTTTGAGAGTAAATGGATAACACTTTGTAGAGTTATCCTGATTTAGCTAAACAACACACAGAGGTGAACACCTCCTGAGGAGGCATCTGGAACAGGTGTCCTCCCCTCAGCTGCTCCTCTTGACACGGAGGAGCAGCGGCTCTACTCCGAGCTCCTCCCGTGTGACTGAGATCCTCACTCTATCTGTAAGGGAGCACCCAGACACCCTGCGAAGGAAACTCATTTCAGCCACTTGCATCCGCGATCTTGTCCTTTCGGTCATTACTCAGAGCTCATGACCGGAGGTGAGAGTAGGAACGAAGACTGACCGATAAATCGAGAGCTTCGCCTTTGGACTCAGCTCCTCTTCAACACAAGTAAAATAACACTTTTTGTGTTAATAACAAATATGTGAAGAATCCCTCAGTCGTCCTGGTAGAATCCATGTCGAGGAGAAAATTCTGTTTGTCGACTGTACAAAAGTTAGTTTGGTTGAAGATGTTTCGCAGCTCATCCAAACTGCTTCTTCAGTTCAGAACTGAATTTTCTCCTCATTAATAACAAATAGTTCACCCTGAAATTTTAACCCTCCAGTTTTTTCTTGTGTCTCAATGTAACAGATACGAACAGAAACCCAGCAGACTGATCTGTGTGTTCTAATCTAAAAAAACAACATTTGAAGTGTCACATGAATCACATTTGTTATCATATTCCTTTGTGTTTCAGGAGAAGAAGCTTTTGGTCCAGACTGAAGCAGCTCAGAACAAACGTCCAACTCTCAGCGACAAACTCAACTCTTCAGCTCCGACGTCCTCCACCAAAGAGACCAGAGGGAGGAGCTTCAGCTGTAAACCAGAGCTGCTCCACTTTAAGGTCTGTGATGCTAACTGTAGGCTCTGCTCTGTCTGACGCTTCATCTCAACACAACCTGACCATAAACAACAGGCTCAGCTGGAACTACTGTAGTGTTAGATACATAAAGAAGACCTTAAACACAATATACTGTAGTGATATCTGGGGTTTGACTCTGTTTTGTTTCGTTTTGTTTCATTTTTCAGGACTTTGACGTGAATCAGACGTACAAGAGGAAAGTGATCCTGACCAACGTGAGCTACACCACAAACACCTGCAGGTTCTCGGCTGTGTCTGCTCCTCTGAACGGCTGCGTGTCCGTGAGGTGAGTGGCGTCGGAGAGGCCGGGCTTCGGGTCAGGGGTCACTTGGGCTGTTGCCATGGTGATGAAACCCAAATACGACGTCTTTTCAATCGTCGAAAGTCCTCGTTGACGTTGTTTGCGATGTTGTGTTTTTGAAAGAAATCACCAAACTGAAAAATCCTAAAATAATGTTGAGTTTTTTTTTTTTTATCCATAGGTTTTAGAGTGATAGAAAATTGGGGCTGTTGCCATGGCGATTAACAATTTGAACCACAATAATATAACTTTTTAAAGGGAAAACGTCCTCAAAATGTTCCACATAAAACAGAAATCTGAAACCCACTGCCAACAATCCCCCACTTTTGTAAAAGAACAATGCCAACACAGTTTAAAGTATAAAATTCCCCTTAGTTCATTTATGTTGTTTGAGACTCTAAAGGTGCACTGTGTAACTTTTTGCCTTTACAAACTACTGTACGGCTCAAATATAAATTTACTTTAATATTTGTGTGTATAAAATTATTTTAAAGAGCCCGTCAACAAAGAAAGGTGAGAAAGTTTGCAGTGGTCTAGTCTGCAGTCTCTATTATTTATTATTTAAAGCTGAACTGTGTAACTTTTTGGTTGGGGGTCCGTCACCTGCTTGTTTCTATGGATACGGACTAAAACCAGGTCTAAACCAGAACTAAAACAGAACTAAAACCAGGACTAAAACCAGGACTAAACCAGGACTAAAACCAGGACTAAACCAGGATTAAAACCAGGTCTAAACCAGAACTAAACCAGGTCTAAACCAGAACTAAAACAGAACTAAAACCAGGTCTAAACCAGGACTAAACCAGGTCTAAACCAGAACTAAAACAGAACAAAAACCGGGTCTAAACCAGGACTAAACCAGGTCTAAACCAGAACTAAAATAGAACTAAAACCAGGTCTAAACCAGAACTAAAATAGAACTAAAACCAGGACTAAAACCAGGTCTAAACCAGGACTAAACCAGGTCTAAACCAGAACTAAAATAGAACTAAAACCAGGTCTAAACCAGGACTAAACCAGATCTAAACCAGAACTAAAATAGAACTAAAACCAGGACTAAAACCAGGTCTAAACCAGGACTAAACCAGGTCTAAACCAGAACTAAAACAGAACTAAACCAGGACTAAAACCAGGTCTAAACCAGGACTAAACCAGGTCTAAACCAGGACTAAACCAGGTCTAAACCTGAACTAAACCAGAACTAAAACAGAACTAAAACCAGGTCTAAACCAGGACTAAACCAGGTCTAAACCAGAACTAAAACAGAACTAAAACACTAAAACAGGTCTAAACCAGGTCTAAACCAGGACTAAACCAGGTCTAAAGCTAAAATATTGTCGGATATAAAACCGGTCCGTGGCTCAAAAAAGATCAGGGCCCACAGCTCTAAACTCTTCCATAAATCTGCTCCACGTCTGTAACACACTTTGCTTTTGAGAAAGGTTTGAGAGAATTGTTTTTTTAAATGTATTTGAGCTCTCACGTTGTATTTGATTCATTTGTGCAGAACAGTTTTTGAATGTTTCTGGGAGCAGGTTGAGTTTCACTTTAAATAAGATTTGGCATGTTTTAAATTTTACCAGATCCCTAAATTTCAGTATCTTTGATCGGCAAAAAAGCACATTTGTACATTTTTTTTTTTTAAATTAAACAATACATCTATTTTAATCTAGTAGCTGCAGTACTTTGAGAACTAAACATCTCTTAGCTCTCTGCCTTCATAAATTATTTCTGCCGTTGTTTGTGTTTGAGTTTGTGTTTCGGTCTCGGTTGTCGTGGACGTGAGCCTCGCCGCCGCAGCTCTGCACAAGTCCAGAGGATTTTATTTACTCGTCGCCTGATGCAGTCCTCCCACATCCAAAACCATGGCAACAATACAACCAGTGTTTTCCTGCTCCACACACACACACACGGACACACACACACACACTTATCACTGTTATCACTGTTGGGCAAGTGACTTTAAAACTGCAATGTGTTATTTATTTATGACTTATTACTGTTATTTCAAAGTCATTCGTTACATGACAAATAAATATGACTGTGTTTAAAGTGTAAAATATTACACGACTATTACAGTAGACCTAAACCAGGTCTAAACCAGGACTAAACCAGGACTAAACCAGGTCTAAACCAGGTCTAAACCAGGACTAAACCAGGACTAAACCAGGACTAAACCAGGACTAAACCAGGTCTAAACCAGGTCTAAACCAGGACTAAACCAGGACTAAACCAGGTCTAAACCAGGTCTAAACCAGGACTAAACCAGGTCTAAACCAGGAGTAAACAAACCAGGACTAAACCAGGTCTAAACCAGGTCTAAACCAGGTCTAAACCAGGAGTAAACAAACCAGGACTAAACCAGGTCTAAACCAGGTCTAAAGCAGGACTAAACAAACCAGGAATAAACCAGGAGTAAACAAACCAGGTCTGAACCAGGTCTAAACCAGGACTAAACCAGGTCTAAACCAGGTCTAAACCAGGAGTAAACAAACCAGGACTAAACCAGGTCTAAACCAGGTCTAAACCAGGACTAAACCAGGTCTAAACCAGGTCTAAACCAGGAGTAAACAAACCAGGACTAAACCAGGTCTAAACCAGGTCTAAACTAAACAGGTCTAAACCAGGACTAAAACCAGGACTAAACCAGGACTAAACCAGGACTAAACTAAACCAGGTCTAAACCAGGACTAAAACCAGGTCTAAACCAGGTCTAAACCAGGACTAAACAACCAGGACTAAACCAGGTCTAAACCAGGTCTAAACCAGGACTAAACAAAACCAGGACTAAACCAGGTCTAAACCAGGTCTAAACCAGGACTAAACCAGGACTAAACCAGGTCTAAACCAGGTCTAAACCAGGACTAAACAGGACTAAACCAGGACTAAACCAGGTCTAAACCAGGTCTAAACCAGGACTAAACCAGGACTAAACCAGGTCTAAACCAGGACTAAACCAGGTCTAAACCAGTCTAAACCAGGACTAAACCAGGACTAAACCAGGTCTAAACCAGGTCTAAACCAGGACCAGGACTAAACCAGGACTAAACCAGGTCTAAACCAGGACTAAACCAGGACTAAACCAGGACTAAACCAGGACTAAAACCAGGACTAAACCAGGTCTAAACCAGGTCTAAACCAGGACTAAACCAGGTCTAAACCAGGTCTAAACCAGGACTAAACCAGGACTAAACCAGGACTAAAACCAGGTCTAAACCAGGACTAAACCAGGACTAAACCAAACCAGGTCTAAACCAGGACTAAACCAGGTCTAAACCAGGTCTAAACCAGGTCTAAACCAGGACTAAACCAGGACTAAACCAGGTCTAAACCAGGTCTAAACCAGGACTAAACCAGGACTAAAACCAGGTCTAAACCAGGACTAAACCAGGACTAAACCAGGACTAAACCAGGTCTAAACCAGGTCTAAACCAGGACTAAACCAGGACTAAACCAGGTCTAAACCAGGACTAAACCAGGTCTAAACCAGGACTAAACCAGGACTAAACCAGGTCTAAACCAGGACTAAACCAGGTCTAAACCAGGACTAAACCAGGACTAAAACCAGGACTAAACCAGGACTAAAACCAGGACTAAACCAGGTCTAAACCAGGTCTAAACCAGGACTAAACCAGGTCTAAACCAGGTCTAAACCAGGTCTAAACCAGGACTAAACCAGGTCTAAACCAGGTCTAAACCAGGACTAAACCAGGTCTAAACCAGGTCTAAACCAGGACTAAACCAGGTCTAAACCAGGACTAAACTAGGACTAAACCAGTACCAAACCAGGACTAATCTTGGACTAGAACTTGGAATCTAGGTCCACCCCTGAGAGAACCCGAGCCCGTGGAACAGGGCGTCTCATCGGGCGTCAGCTCCGGTCGCCCCGTGGTTAGTTCTGCGTCGGTCCTTTCACCTGTGGTCACATGACGTCTACGTGGGCGTGTCTCCGCCGTTTCACCGCTGCTGATGTCACCGTGATTTTAGCCAATTTGTATGAAGAAAAACCAAAAACCCACCACTTCAATCCAGGTTAAAAAAGCTTTGTGATGCACGTTAATGACATTTGTACCAGTTAAAATATTACAATTTTTTCCCCCTGTAATACCACATTTCTGCAAAAACCAACACATTACAGAAATTTAAGCCAATGATGTTCATTATGTCTTCTTATATACTTTAACTTCTTAGGTTCTTTTTAAAGACAATGCAGTAAGTAATTGCAGCTAGCAGCCGAAACATGTCAACAAGGTAAATACACTTTACTGCATTGTCTTTAAAAAGAACCTAAGAAGTTAAAATTACAGAAATTTGTTACTTTTATAAAACGTTACTCCCAACACTGATTGTTATTTAATTATCTGCCCGTGTCCAACCAAGAAGTCAAATTATAAACTGCACCAGAATAAAAGTGGTCGCCTTCATGTGATTTTGTGTACAGATCTGAGTCCCTGCAGTGTGAAAATTTTCCACAAACGCACACACACACACACACACACACACACACACACACTGAAGCTGCAGTGGCTCCTGTGTGACTCAGTCCTGTTGGTGCAGCCCACAGCCTCTTGCGCTGCACCAGAGCTCGACCAACACAAACAGCTCCCCACCCAGAGAACACGACCGAACGTTCTACTCTACTACTCTTCTACTACTGATATAAAGATTTCAGCTTTTCCAGTCGTTTCTTTCTCTTAAGTAGTGGGAGTTTTATTTGATAGAAGATACAGGCCTGTGGAAACGAGCTCTACCCAAATGAATATAAATGAGTGAATAATGTTCATTCTGCAGTGGCTAAATTGATGGTTAAATTGTCTTGTCGATGTGTGCTCACGGACTTCCGGTCATCACACAATCCATACTGGGAAGGATCCTCCGAAAAAGTGAACATCAAACCTCTTTCCAGTGAGCTGCATCTATTCTCAAAGTGGATCTTTTCAAGTCTTTTGAACCATATCACTTTTGTTTCTGGTTCTGATATTGTC